ATCGCCAGGACCACCACCTCACCATCCTCGCCATGACCATCTCACCATCAGCATCATCACTGTCATCATCACGTCACCAACAGCAGCCACCATCACCGCCACCATCTCACCCTCATCGCCGTGACATCACCACCATCACTATCACCCCCGTTGCCACGGCCGTCACCTTCACTATCACCAGCACCATCAACACTGTTCAAAACACACCCAAGGAGTTTTTCAAGCCTTGCTCCTCCTCTTCCATCTCCTCCTTTCATAAGTCACTTCCATCCACCTTCTGGTTCTCAAACCAGAGCAGACATCGGAATTCCTGGAGGACCTAGCAGACCACAGAGCACCAGGCCCTGCCCCCAGATGCTGACTGGGTTGGGCCTGGGGTGAGGTCAGAGAACTGCATTTCTCCCTCATTCTCAGGTCTTGCTGAGGCTGCGGGCTCAGCCTTATGGCCAAATCACTAAGCAAAAGGCGGAGCCCGAGGAACACCCCAAGCTTTCTTAGAAAAGCCGCCTTCACCACAGCAGCTGAATCTCACCAACGCTGTCCAAGAGAACAGACTTGATCCCTTTGAAATGAGGCTGTGAGCCGTCATCCTCCCAAAACTCAGTATCAAATGATCCATTCTTCATAACTGGGGGAGAGAAGAGAATGGCGAAAGAAAAATAAAAGCTGGGGTAGTTCACGGGCAAGGATCCGCTGCGCGAATCCAGTCTCCGCTGCGCGAATCCAGTCTCCGCTGCGCGAATCCAGTCTCCGCGTTTTTAAAACAAGAGGCGGAAGTCGAGCAGGAGGAAGCAAGCTGGGCAGGCACCCCCCGAGCCCGCCGTGCAGACCGGCTGGATGGCAGGCTGCTGGCTCCCTGAGCAACGTGCCCTTGGTTGGTTCCTTGACATTTGCACCATTTTCTCTTGGTACCACTGTGGCATCTGACTGACCACCGCTGGCAACACTGAGGCAGAGGGCGTGGAGTTTGTGCCGGGACAGTTTCACTGCTGGGAGGGTGGACTGGGCATCTGGCCAGGACTCACACGAGAAGGGGGTCACTGCCTGTGGTGACCACGACTCCCGTAAGAAGGGGGTTTCCATCCCAGGTGGTCACTGCCTGTGGTGACCAGGACTCATGTTAAGAAGGGTGTCTCCAACTCAGGTAGTCACTGCCTGTGGTGATCAGGGCTCCCATAGGAAGGGGGTCCCCATCCCAGGTGGTCACTGGCTGCGGCGACCAAGACTCTCATAAGAAAGAGGTCCTATCCCCTATCGTCACTGTCTGTGGTGACCAGGACTCCTATAGGAAGAGTGTCCCCATCCCAGATGGTCACTGGCGGTGGTGACCAGGATTCAGGTTAAGAAGGGCGTCCCCAGCCGGGTTTGGTGGCTCAGCCTGTAATCCCAGCGCTTTGGGAGGCTGAGGTGAGTGGACTGCCTGAGCCCGTGGGTTCGAGACCCGCCTGGGCAACTTGGCGAGACCTCATCTCTACAATAAATCAAAAATTAGCCGGGCATGGTAGTGCATGCCTGTAGTTCCAGCTACTTGGAAGGCTGAAGCAGAAAGATCACCAGAGCCCAGCAGGTGGAGGCTGCGGTGGCCGGGAGCGTGCCACTGCTCTCCAGTCTAGGTGACAGAGTGAGACTTCAACTTAAAGAAAAAAAAAGAAGGGCGTCCCCACCCCAGGTGGTCACTGCTTGCAGTGATGGGGCAGGAATGGGGCTGACAGGCAGGGACGCCAGCCATGTTGGCCCTTTTATCCCAGATGCCCGGGAGGACTTCCCTCCCTAGAACACCACGTAGCAGATACATCTGCCACATAGCAGTTACATCTGCCACATAGCGGATACAAGCCACCACCCAGAGGACTCAGAAATGGTTTTCTTTTGAGTTGGAGTCTCACTCTGTCGCCCAGACTGGAGTGCAGTGGCATGTTCCTGGCCACTGCAGCCTCGACCTGCTGGGCACGCGCTACCACCCCGGGTAATTTTTGATTTATTGTAGAGATGAGGTCTCGCCAAGTTACCCAGGTGGGTCTCGAACCTGCGGGCTCAGGCAATCCACTCACCTCGGTCTTCCAAAGCGCGGGATTACAGGTTGAGCCACCGAGCCCGGCAAGAAATGGCTCTTTCATATCATCCAAGAGCTCATCATGATTCAGAGGGCATTAGCTGCTGTTTCCTTTTTCTTTTTCTTTTTTTAGAGTCAGAGTCTCACTCTATCACCCCAGCTGGAGTGCTCTGGCATGTTCACAGCCACCACAGCGTCGACCTGCTGGGCTCTGGCAATCAGTCCACCTCAGCCATCCAAGTAGCCGGAACCACAGGTGCACACTATCACACCTGGCTAATATTTGATTTATTGTAGAGATGAGGTCTTGTCGAGTTGCCCAGGCTGTTCTTGAACCCATGGGCTCAGACAATGCCCTCACCTCAGCCTCCCAAAGTGCTGGGATGACAGAATTGAGCCACCCCACCTGACCAAGCTGCTGTTTTCTAAGCAACTTTTTGACACACCAAAAAAAAAAAAAAAAAGCCCCAAAGAAATATATTATTCAATGGCAAAAAAAAGTTTAAACCAAGCCTTCTATGGCATGGCTGACCACACGGGGACAGATGTCACACCACAAAGCAGAAGGAGTTCAGAGCATCCTCACCTTCACTGCTGGAAAGAGGATATTTCTTGGGGAGTAGCTGGAATTCCTTACGAGCAAGCCAGGAACCCCTTTCTACAATCCATTTTGCATTACACATCACCAACAGCAAGGTTCGAGACTAAACTCCAGGCTTGCCACAACTCCCTAAACTCCTTAAGGTGGCTATCAAACATCTGGGACCCCCTTGCTGAACTGAACTCGTTCATTTTCGACATGCCAAGCCTGAGTTTAACAGGAGTCGTGTCTAAGAAGAGGATTAGTAAAATCATCCGTGGAAGCCCGTTCCCAACGACAGTCCTCTCTCAGCTCAAGAAGATAGAGAAATTATTTTCAAGTAGGAAGAATCATGGCCATATCAGTTTTCAAGTTCAAGTTCCGACTGTGTAGAATACCAAATGGCATGTCTATCTCGTAGAATATGTGGCTTTAAAAAGTTACATTCAAGCCGGGCTCGGTGGCTCAGCCTGTCATCCCGCGCCTTTGGGAGGCTGAGGTGAGTGGATGGCCTGAGCCCGCGGGTTCGTGACCCGCCTGGGCAGGCGAGACCTCATCTCGACAATAAATCAAAAAAATCAGCCGGGCGTGGTAGTGCATGCCTCTAATTCCAGCTACTCGGAAGGCTGAGGCGGAAGGATCGCCGGAGGTGATCCTGCAGTGAGGCTGCGGTGGCTGGGAGCGGCCACTGCACTCCAGTCTGGGCGACAGAGTGAGACTCCAACTCAAAAAAAGAAGTTACGTTCACCGTAAACTACCTGCCATCTGGTCAACTGCATCAAAGCTTGATGAACTCTGTAACCTACACGGAAGATGATTCAGCCATAAAAAGCACTGAGTCGCTGACATGCTGTGACACAGACGAACCCTGAAGATACCACGCAGAGTGAAAGAAGACGCTGCGAAAAGTGACACCGTGTGTGAGTCCATTACTACGACATGCCCAGAACAGGCGAATCCACAGAGACAGAAAGTAACAACTGGTTGTTCAGGGCAGGGGTCCCCAGCCCTGGGTACCACTGGTCCATGGCATGTTAGAAACCGAGAAGCACAGCAGGAAGTGAGAGGTGGCTAACGAGCAAAGCTTCATCTGTATTTATGGTCACTCCCCATTGCTTGCATGACTGCCTGAGCTCCATGAGGTCAATTGTGGCATTAGATTCTCATAAGAGCATGAACCATACTGTGAAATGCACATGCAAGGGATCTAGGTTGTGGGCTCCTTATAAGAATTTTTTGGTTTTGAGCTGGAGTCTCCCTTTTGTCACCCAGGCTAGAGGGCAGTGGCACACTCCCGGCCACCACAGCCTCGACCTGCCGGGCTCAAGCGATCCTTCCGCCTCAGCCTTCCAAGTAGCCGGAACTACAGACACACGCCACCACGCCCAGCTAGTTTTTGTGATTTATTGTAGAGACGAGGTCTCACCAAGTTGCTCGGGCTGGTCTCTAACCCCCGGGCTCTAACCCCCAGGCTCGGGCAATCCTCTCACCTTGACCTCCCAAAGTGCTGAGATGACAGGCTGAGCCACCATGCCCGGCCCCCTTATAAGAATTGAATGCCTGATGATACGAGATGGAGCTGAGACGGAGATGCCAACGCTGGAGACAGCTGCAAATACAGGTGAACCATCAGCAGGGAGGTTTGATTGCATACTTTTCCTGACCCTGATCCATGAAAAAATTGTCATGCCTGACACCGGTCCCAGAGGCCAGAAAGGTTGAGAACTGCTGAGTGAGGGGCTGGGAGAGGGGACCGGGGAGCGACTGACAAGGGGGTACAGGGTTTCCTGCAGGGGTGATGAAAAAGCTCCAAATGTCCTGAATGTCACTGAGTCGTGTATGCTGAAATGGTTACAGTGTCACGTTTTGTGTTTTATGTACTGCACATTTTAAAATTTTTTAGGTCCTGGGCATGTGTATCCTACCATGGAACATGTGGCCAACGCCTGGCGGGGGCTGATCTCATTTCACTCTGGGACGGCAGACCCAGGTGACAAGCTCCCGCCACCCTCCCCCCTATGAGACTCCCCTGAAACCCACCCCATCCAACGGATGGGTGGGGAAGCCGGCATCTCCCAACGGCTGCACCACGGAAAGGATCGCGTCCTCACGGGCTCCCAGAGCTACCTCCTCAAAGGAGTCTGTCTGCTCTAACAGGAAGTGAGCCAGGGCCAAAAAGGCACACGGGAACAGGTCAGCCTCAGCGCTAAGAGACGGAGCCACAGACTGGGGCCTCCAGGCACACAAAACATCCCCAGCGCAAAAAGCACCCTCGAGTCGGACGTCCAGGATGACGTGCGGAGACTCAGGGCTGTCCCCAGAGCCGTCCATACACGGGACCGTCTTGTCGGTGAGCATGCGCTTTACCTGAAAGGGAGTCTGGCTGTTGTAGTTCTTTAATTCCTTGTTCCCGCCTCGAAACAGCAGCACTCGGGCACAGCTGTCCTGCGAATGAGAAAAAAAGAAAACCTGTTTGTAAATGGTGGCATGGGTGTCCTCCAAAGAAATCCGGCCTCAAGAGAAACGCACATCCACTGGTGAAAGGGAAGGCAGGTTTCCTTCCTCAGAGCTGCAAGGAGGAGGGAGGTGTCCCTGCCACCAAGGCTTCCAATGACAGCTTGGTGGGGTCTACGCAAACCTAAGATGTGTGTACCACCGTGGCCAAACAACTCTGCCGTGTAGGGCTGTGTTTTACGGAACATCTTGCGTGTGTGTAAAACGGTAACACGTGAAATGCCGTAAGTAAAATACAAAGAGAAAGAAAGAAAATCTGGAGACGGCACACGGCTTGCAAAATAGGGAAAAGTGGAAACACATTCTAGAACGTTCTTCACCTGGGCAGTTGTAGGACAAAACACGGAAGATGAACACAGATTGATGGGAAGATAGGCAAGCACTTCCAAGTAAAATAAGGCAAGCCTCGGCCGGGCTCCGTGGCTCAGTCTGTCCTCCCAGCACTTTGGGAGGCCGAGGCGAGTGGACTGCCTGAGCCCGCGGGTTCGAGACCAGCCCGGGGCAACCCGGTGAGACCTCATCTCTACAACAAATCAATTAAAAAATTAGCCAGCATGATAGCATGTGCCTGTAGTTCCGGCTACTTGGAAGGCTGAGGCGAAAGGATGGCCGGAACCCGGCAGGTCAACCCTGGGGTGGCTGTGAGTGTGCCACTGCACTGCAGCCTGAGCAACGGAGTAAGACTCCAACTCAAATAGATAAATAAATATGTAGACTTATTTTTTTAGTGTTTGTTAAAAGCAGGCCAAAAGTTATCTCTTATGGAGTTTTATGGTGAAAACAAATCTATGCCTGTACATTGATTGAGCACCTACTGTTTGCCCCCTGGGGCTGAAAGAGAACTTCTCGCCAGCCCTTTTGAAGCTCCCAAGGGGGAACGCTACAAATGAAAAGTGTGCAGGGCACTTCTGAAAAAGGTGGGCTGTGAATCATTCTACAAAAAAGATACCTGCACACGCATGTTGGCTGCAGCTCTATTCACAATAGCAAAAACATGGAACCAACCATGTTGCCCATCGAAGCTGCACTGGATAAAAAAAATGTGGTACATATACACGATGGAATATTATGCAGCCACACAGAAGGACAAACTTATGGACTTCGCAGCAGCTTGGATGGATTTAGAGTCGATCCTACTCAGCGACCTATCACAGAAAGAGAGAACAGAGTACCACGTGTTCTCACTCATAAGCCGACCTTGAACAACTATCATTCTATAAGAAAGGGACTGACAGTAGTGGGAAACTGGGGGTGGGGTGGGGGTGGGATTGGCAGGTGAGGGAAACTGCCAGGGGAGGGAGGGGCACACTTCATCAACAAGGGTACTTACATAATCAGTGTTTGTATACCTAACCCTGAACTGTACCTCACATCTTTATAATTTTTGTAAAAAGTGAAAAAAAAAAAAAAAAAAAAGGTGGGATACAGATGGAGACACACTCACTATGAGAATAATTCAGCCTGGCAAACACAATCGGCTAGGTAGAATAAGTAAACTGTTTCTGGAAGAGCGTGTCAGTGAGCCAGTCCAGGTGAGTGTCCCTAGCAGGTCAGCTCGCCACGGGCATGGGCACTTTCCCCTCCCGGACCCTGGGCTGCCGGTGCCATGCAAGCCACAGCAAAGCCCTGCCCTGGGCATATCTTGGGTGTTCCACCTCGACCTACAGTCTGATCCAGGGGTGGCCGACCTGTCGGCATCCCTGGGTTGCATCAAGCAGAGAGGAATTGTCTTGGGCTGCGCATAAATTACAAAAAATAGTTAGTGGATCTACAGGATAGAATTATTTTATTTTTATTATAAAGTGTAGAAAAATGAGAATATAAAACTAGAGGGAAATGGGACGTTGTTTTCGTCAAATGAATCTATCCATGTCTGGTTCAATGAATGTGGTTGCCATTCTCGGTGAGTTCTCAAGGTGCCCGTCAGAAACGTTTGTTCGAATTTTGCTTTCTGTGTGCTTCTTCAGTGAAAACAGCTGGCCGGGCAGGGTGGCTCAGCCTGCCATCCCAGCACTTTGGGAGGTCGAGGTGAGAGGACTGCCTGAGCCCAGAGGTTCGAGACCAGCCTGGGCAACTTGGTGAAACCTGGTCTCCACAATAAATCACAAAGAACTAGCCGTGTGTCTGTATTTCCAGCTACTTGGACAGCTGAGGCAGAAGGATCGCCTAAGCCCAGCAGGTCGAGGCTACAATGGCCGTGAGCGTGCCACTGCACTCCAGCCTGGGCAACAAAGAGTGAGACTCCAACTCAAAAAAAAGAAAAAGAAAAGAAAACAGCTGTTCACAGATGTATGTACTGCCAGAAAGTGACGTCAGGAATAAGGCGAGATAGTGAACTTCAAAAATGGTATGGCGCACGGGGTCACGAATAAAATAAACACGACAAACACATGATGTCTAGCCCGGGCAACTTGGCAAGACCTCGTCTCTACAATAAAAAATCAAAAATTAGCTGGGCATCGGAGTGCACGCCTGTAGTTCTGGCTACTTGGAAGACTGAGGCAGAAGAATTGCTGGAACCCAGCGAATCGACTCTGCTCTCCAGCCTGGGCAACGGAGTGAGACTCCAACTCAAGAAAAAAAAAGATGTTAAAAGATTTTGTGGGCTGGGCTCTGCAGCTCAACCTGTAATCCCAGCACCTTGGGAGGCCAAGGTGAGTGGATTGCCTGAGCCTGCGGGTTCGAGACCATCCCGGGCAACTTGGCAAGACCTTGTCTCTACAATGTGTCAAAAAATTAGCTGGGCATGGTGGTGCATGCTTGTAGTTCTGGCTACTTCGAAGGCTGAGGCAGAAGGATTGCCAAAGCCCAGGAGGTTGACGCTGGGGTGGCCGTGAGTGTGCCACTGCACTCCAGCCTGGGTGATGGAGTGAGTCTCCAACTCAAAAAAAAAAAAAAAAAAAAATTTTGTGGGGCCGTGTGACTCGCTGTCCTGGGCTGCATATTGGACACAGAAGATGCAGGCCAGGGCAGAGCTAAGTTACATGGAAAAGAACCGACTGCCATGTCCCAAGCAGTGGCGTCTGGGGGTCTCAGCTGCGCCCATGGCTGGCTTTTGTCACCATCTTTTTCAGAAGTCCCCTGCACACGTGGGGGCTTGCTACCTTAAGCACCTCCCGAGGCCACCTCTGCACAGAGGGGCTCTGGCCACAGATGCCACGGAACCCATTGGGCACGGGGAAGTGAGCATGGAGACTGGTCTGCGGGGTGCTGAGAGTCCTGTCTTGCCCCCCTGGGGGAAGCTCAGACTGTCACAGGGACCCCCAGAGCCTCTGCACCTCCAGCTCAATGAGAAGCAAAATCCCCAAGGTCTCCCATCTCTTGGGGCAGCAGTTCTCAACCCCCTAGGAGGTGACTTTGCCTTCTAGGGGACACGTGACTGGAGACACTTGTGTGATGGAGGTCCTTTTGACTGGACTGACCATGATGATCTAATGGCGCTGAGCAGGTGAAGGCCAGGAACGTCGCAAACACCCTACAATTCGTAAGCAGTTCCCTAACCGCAGCCAAAGTATCCATCATGCTGAAGAAAGCCAGCCCGCCTTGGGTGGCCTCAACGGCATGGACGGTGGGAATTAACCACGAATAAAGGCGCACCCCAGAACAGCCGTCACACGCCGGCTTCTATATGAATCACACGTCCCCTTGCCCAACACCCACCAACCTCTCGCCCCGGCTGGCCAGGCCCCACGTGGACACTGAGTCTGTGCTGGGATATTCAGACTCTGGTCCCAGCCCAGCAGGTGTTGGAGAAGATGGCCACTTGCTTACTTGGCAGAAAGAGAGACAGAGCTTGCTCTCTTTGGGCCCCTCACTGCAGGGCCAAGGGGGACCCTGAGGACCGCGGCGTGACAATAGGCAGAGGCCCACAGTGCAGTGGTTGCGAGAGACCAGGCAAACCTAGGTGACAGAAGGAAGGACACTCAAGATGAAAGGCTCAGTGACAAAAAGCAAAGACAGGGAAACACACGCGCGCTAGGAGTCCGCTGTGCTTAGAAGCAAAGCTGAGAGCACGTGGGACGTGCAATGATCCAAACACCGTGGGGGTCTTCCCAGTATCTAGGAGTGGGACCCCGGGGACAGCCCAGACGTGGACATCTAGTTTTTACAGAGATTTCTACAGTCTCCGAATGACTGCCATGAGCCTATGTGTGTTGATCTGTCCTCAGTAAGCCAGGGGTCTCTAGAGGACAGAACCACGAGGACATACGATGAGGGGGACTAAAACCAATGGGAAGTTATCTATAAAAACTGTGTATTTATTCTTACATGTCTAAACTTGTCACCTTTAAAAGATTCCCCGTCGGATGCAATACGCCTCTTGAGACGCTTTCTCCACTGCTCAAAACTGTTTTGAACACATCCATGTTGATGTCTTCTGCCATTTTTTCTTTTACTTCTTCCACATCAGCAAAACGTGTCTCTTGGAGGACTTTTTTTTTTCCATCGGGGAAACAAAAAAACGTCGCTCGGGATGAGATTGGGTGAAGAGGGAGGGTGGGGCACGGAGGCCAGCTCATTTTGGGTCAAAAACTGCTGAACCCTCAGTGCAGGGTAGACAGGCGTGCTCGTCGATCACCCATCAGAAAATGGGCAGGGGCGCTGAAAGGATCTCCCCCCCAAAATTCACTGGAGCCCAACGCAGACCCTCACAACAACGCTCGCTGGTTCACAGATGCCGGTGGGTTCCTAGAACACCCACCTAGCATGGACTATGAGGGGGCCTGTCCGCGAAAGGATAATTCCGGTTTCTTTTGGGTTCCCCTCATAAAAGGGATTGATTAGGGAAGACTGGCTCACCTACCCGATGACAAGACCAAGTCCCACGATATTGCTTCAAGTAACGTAAAAACACAAGAGAATTTAAAAGGATACAACTATGCTTGCAAACACATCTTTCCGTGGTTTGGGATACAATAAAATCCAGAGTT